CTAAACCCTGAACACTCCTAGAAGCTGGTGATGAAAACTCACAAAATGCATTGTGTTTCAGGCAAGAGGAAGAGAAAAAGTAAGACCAAAACAGAGAGGAAAAATTCTCTTGAAATTTAAAGCTACAGGTGAAAATTTCGTGGGGCTTGTAAAAATGGAAATTGTAGGGAAATTTTTAAAATATTTTTTGGCTAATTTTCTAATGTTATTTACATACCAAAAGCCATTGTTATCTCAAAATATAAAATATGTTAAAATATGAAACCTAGTAAAGAAAAAGTTGTCAATTTCCCAAAACGATTGTAGAGAAAGCCTTTTCCCTCTCTTTCCAGTTGCACCTGTTTTCTGCGTCTTCATATAGACTTCTTAAATTTAGCCCCAAACTCAAGTGCCACCTAGTCAGTTCCTCGCGTTCCCACAGAAAAGGCAGCAGAATGTGGCGTCCAAGAAATCGTGAGGCCAGGCTGCGGCCTCAGCCGCGGAACATTTTCTGGTTCACACCGACAGACTCACCATGGAAACACTACAACCCTCAGTCAGCATTGCCCGCAGCTGGGACTCCACGTCCTCCTACCCCAGGCCTTTGCCGCTGCTAGAAGGCAGCGCTTGCTCACGCGGAGCCGAGCTGCTTAGACCCGGTGCCCCTGCGGGTCCTTCTCCCACTCTCTCCACCAGAGAAAGCAGGAGTGCAGTAGAGGCAATTTCCTACCAGGTGGGGAAGTGGTAGATTGCCTTGCAAGGACTTATTGTCTCAGGAGTCCAGGAAAGAAGGCGGAAAGAACTCTGCCTTGAGTTGCCATGTCTCAGTGTTGGGTTTCAGTAACTTACTGACCACCCTCAAGCATCTGTCTCCTCATCTGTGAAGTACGGATGATAACAGTGTACATCCTCATGGGGTTTTGAGGTTTTTGAATCTTTAGTAAGGAACCAAAGCCCAGACATAGTATAAATTAAGAACCAAGTGATTTAATTCACAGCAATCGCTCTACTCCTTAAGCTATTTGGAAAGATGTAAGTCAACAATTTTCACTTAGGAGTCCATTTGTTTCAACAGTGAGAGTATAAATTAGGCCATTTGGAGAAGAGAATTTACACTTAAGATCCAGATTTTTCTGCTAGGAAAGTATCAGTCCTACAATCCCATGATAGATGTATAGGAACAGACTTGCTTCCATGTAACCAATATTTCACTTTAATAAATATAATTGACTATATTATTCCCGAGTATATCACATGAAAGTTCCCACTATGGGTAATCAAGGGCCTCACCATTCATAGTTGACCTAAAGACATTTTTCATCAGCCTTCTCCCACTTTGCTGTGACTCATAAAGCTAAATTCCAACATGTGAGAGGATTGGGTAATTCTCATACACTAATCTATCAAATCCAGAGGACAACTTCATCTGTTCAGATGGAAAAACTACCTCTGTTGATTTTGCTAATTTCTCTGACACCCAAGACCAGGCAGGGGTCACCTGGTTAATAAGAGTAACAGGCATTTAGAGGACTTCTAGTTCTGAAGGTGCTAATTTCCCATCTCCCCTCCTTCCCATGGCAGAAGGAATCACAACATCTAGCCAGCAAGGTTAAGAGTAAGTTTATGCATTCCCACCAACAGTACAAAAGGGTTCCCCCTTCTCCACATCCTCACCAGCACTTGTTGTTTGTTGATTTATTGATGACAGCCATTCTGACAGGTGTGAGATGATATCTCATTGTGGTTTTAATTTGCATTTCTCTGATGATTAGTGACATTAAGCATCTTTTCATGTCTATTGGCCATCTGTATATTTTCTTTTCAGAAAAGTGTCTATTAAAGTCCTTTGCCTATTTTTTAATTGGGTTGTTTGGGTTTTTTGGTGTCAAGTATTGTAAGTGCTTTATAAATTTTGGATATTAACCCCTTTTCAGATGTGTTTTCCCATTCTGTGGATTGTCTTTTTATTTTTTTTGATGGTTTCTTTTGCTATGCAAAAACTTTTTAGTTTGATGTAGTCCCATTTGTTTATTTTTCCTTTTGTTTCCTTTGCCTGGGTGAGAAATATCTGATAAAATATTTCTACGAGCTATGTCCAAAATTTTGCTGCCTATGTTTTCTTCTGGGATTTTTATGATTTCTGGTCTTATATTTAAGTCTTTAATCCATTTTTGAATGTATTCTTGTATGTGGTGTAAGAAAATGGTCTAGTTTCAATTTTCTGCACGTATCTCTCCAATTTTCCCAACACCATCTATTGAGTAAACTATCTTTAGCCCATTGTATGTGCTTGCTTCCTCTGTCAAATATTAATTGACTATAAAGATGTGGGTTTATTTCTGGGCTCTCTGTTCTGTTCCTTTGATCTAGCTATGTGTCTGTTTTTATGTCAGTACCATGCTGTTTTGAGTAGTATGGCTCATAGTATAGTTTGATACTAGGTAGCGTGATTCCTCTAACTTTGTTCTTCTTTTATAGATTGGTGCAGCCACTGTGGAAAGCAGTATGGAGATACCTCAAAAAAAATTAAAGATGGATCTGCCTTTTGACCCAGCAATCCCTCTTCTGGTAATATATCTGAAGAAACCCAAAACACTAATTTGAAAGAACAAAAGCACCCCTATGTTCATTGTAGTTATTTACAACTGCCAAGATATGGAAGCAGTTCAAGTGTCCATCAGTAGATGAGTGGATAAAACAACTATGGGACATTTACACAATGGAATACTACTCAGCTGTAAAAGAGAAGAAAATTTTACCTTTTGCAACAGTATGGATGGACCTGGAGACATTATGCTAAGTGAAATAAGCCAGTCAGAGAAAGACAAATACCATATGATCTCACTCATATGTGGAATCTCATGAACAAACTGAACTAACAAGCAAAGTAGAGACAGACTCATAGATAGAGAGCAGGCTGACAGGTAAGGGAGGGGGGTTAGGGGGTGGAGGAATTGAGGAAAAAGGACTCATGGACATGGACAACAGGGTGGAGATTGCGGTGGTGGAAGAGGGAGTATACAGGGACTAAATAGTAATGGAAAAAATACAATAAAAATAAAACTAAAAAAATAAAGAGTAAGTTTTTGTAGCTCTCCTTCCTTATTAGACTCACCCTACATTTATACCTTTAACTTCCTGAATTTCCTGGTCCTGCCTGGTGTCCCAGTGGTTTTTCTTCACCTCTTCTCCCCCTTAAGATAGGGCTGCTGAGGGTTCCTTTCAGTTGCTCAACACTTTTTCTCCTTAGCAATTGTGAGGCAGGTTTTCCAGGTGAGAAAACTGAGCTCTGGGGGGTTGCTCAGGGTTAGACTTGAACTTGGGGTTTCTAAGTTTTTATAAGGAATCTTGCAATCCTTACTTTCAGATGTCTGGGGACGCATTAGATTTCTGCAGACAAGGCAGAAACATAGCCACTTGAACCAATTCCCAAAGCACCTCTCTGCAAAGAAATGGCAACCTGAAGCTTGGCTTATACTCAGAAAGCAGGAAGGGAGAGTGGAGGAAGATCGTGTTTTCAAGTCATGAGAGCAGCATTAAAGTACACAAACAACCACCATGTGACCCCACAGACAGAGACTGGTCTCTGACGCATGGGTATGTCATTTGTCCTAAATCTCTGTAGGAAATGAGTGATAGAAGAACCGGGATGGAATGTAAACTGTAAACTACTTCTTAAGCATCTTTCTTCTTCTAAGAGTTCCCTTCCAAAGAGAACTCAGGCTCATCCTTTCTCCCTGATTGTTAACCGTAGATGTACAGGCTCCCTGTTGACAGGAGAAAGAGGAAGGAGGGGCGGGGTGAAGAAACGCAAAGGAGAGCCACAGAATCCAGATGAAACAGCTTCGCTTCCAAGCCCAGGGAAAGCCCTTTTCTGATATTGTGAATTTCCTCCATTTCTCCTGTGTCTTCCCTGAGAGTTCCCTCCATGTCAACTTTCCACACACTCCAACAAGAGCCCCCCTGCTCTCTCGCACCCCACAAACCCCAGTATACACAGTCTCCCTTGCCCTCACCTCCCCCATCACCTAGAAATGTGCCAAGTACAGTAAGATGTCCATGCTATTGGGAAATGGGAAATAAAAGCATCACTTTTTAATTGTGTCCACCGATTGTGGGAGCGGTACACCCGAGCAGGATGGAGAAGGCAGGATGGAGAAGGCAGGCTGGCCTCGAGCCTCAGCACGATGAGGAGGCTGAGTCAGAGAGTAAGATGTTAGTAACAAAGAGCAGGCCTGGCCATGATCACAGGTAGGGCCCATATGAGCTGGAAGAGACCCTGGAGACCACGCAACGTTACCCTTTCCTTTCCTGGTGGAAAATGGAGGGTAGGAGGCTGATGCAGGGCTATATACCCCCCCAGGGGCGGGGCTAGGAGATAGAGGTGATCCTTAGAAGGTCAAGGATGCAAGGATATGGCTGAATTCCAAGGCTGTGCTCCAGTTCTGGAATCCTCCACAAAAAGTCCCAAAGTCCCTAGCACCCTTTCTAGTGTGCCTTTTTGGAAGGGTGGGGAGGATTTTTGCTGAACCATTTCTCAGTTCCCTCATCTGCAATTGGGGATGTGAGCCTCTATTTATCAGGTGGTTATGAAGATAAATGAGAAGTAAGAAACCATCTAGCAGAATGGCTGGCATGTCACAGGGCTCAATAAATGTCTGTGCACCTTTTTGCCTTTTCCTCTGGTTGTCCCCTATAGAGTACGCACTTCTTCGCCTGAATTTTCTTCTGTCTTTGGCAGAAATCTTGGGAAACAGTTATTCACTCTCTGTGTCCAAGCGAAATGTTGCTAGTGGCTGGGAGGGTGTCCAGAGCTCAGAGGAGCACGGAGGAGGGGCCAGGCCCAGGGGGACCGTGGCCGGCAGCCTCTCTGCTACTGAGGTATAGCCCACCCAGAGTGGAGGGGAACCCAAGTGTGAGGAGCTGGGTGCCCTCGTGGGCGCCTCCGTCCCCTCTCTCCATTCTCTCTTCCAGTGGGAACAGCTGGGGTCTAGGCGATTCAGCCACACACACTTTCTTACCTTGAGAAGCAGAGCGGTCAGCGGGGCCGGGTAGCTCCTGCTGGTCTGAACGGGTGGACAGTATCGGTAGAGCCTGGCCCTCCTGGCCTGCACGGTGGTACCTGGGCCCTCTTTACAGCTCTTTGGAAGTACTTTGCAGGTGGCAGCACCTCTCCTCATTACGGCCTCTTCACCCTGGTCGGCAGCTTGGGCCAGGGTGGTCTGCGGAATTGAGCATTCCCAACCATTCCAAGACCGAGGGTCTGTGCCTCCTGGGTCCTGGGGGGCAGTAACGACTGGCCTTTGCTTCCAGTGCGTGGAGGGATTGCTGCTTCCATCGCTCATCATGACATCTGGGCTAGGAGGTCTGCATGACAGGGGCCGGAGCCGGCCAAGTTTCCTGGAGGCAGGGGCCAGGGGAAGCCCGGAATGCGGGGATCCGCAAAGGCTACCCCTCCATACATCCAGGTCCTGGGGATTTTCCTCTCCCTCCTTCTCCTCCTGCCGAGCAGAGCAGCTGAAAGCAGCTGGTTGCTCTGTCCCACGGCCCTCCTTCGGCAGCAGGCGCGAGGGAGGAGCAGCCGAGCCCTGTGTGCGCCCGAGGTCCTGGCCTGCCAAGAAGCCTGTCCTGGGACTTGGGAAAATGTGTCCCTCCTCCGGGCCTCCTGGGGCTGCTGTCCGGGCAGTAGCTGCTGGAGACAGGGCGGGGAGAGTTCGGGCAGGGGGGGCCTGCAGCTGGATGAAGAGGAAGGAAGTTTTCATCTGCTGTTGCTTAGGCTGCTCAGCCATTTCCTCCAAGGGGGTAGGGCTGGTCCTTGCCAGGGTCGCGGTTCAGACCTCAGTGCCCAGGGATGCGAGCGCCAGCAGCTGTGGGCAGATGTGACTCGGCAGCCCCATGGTTCCACCAAGAGCCTGAGGAAGCAAATGACACATCTTCAGCACCCAGGGGGAGTCTTCGAGAAGCGAGGATCAGGGGATGACCTTGGGAAGCCACAGGACTAGATCCCACACTCACTTCACAGAACCACCACAACAGACAGACTGGCGGGGAACAATCTCGGAGGGAGGGGTGGTCAGGGGCAGTCAAAGCTTGGCTTCTGTCACCTTAGTGTGACCCATGCAATTCCTTTTTCTTAACTGTTCCCTTCCCCATATTTGAAATGAAAATGCTAAAGTTATTTGTCTCATTTTTTAATCCTAAACTGTCTATTAGGTACTCCTGCTGAATATCCGACCTGTAGACACTGTGGTTTGTAGGTGAGGCCTCCGGCACACTTCGAAGTGTGCTTGTCATCTACCTTACTCCCACTAATAACACACGGTGGTAAAAAGCATTATGTTTTCATAAACTTCCACTTTAAATCCTGAGGTTTAGGAATTCCCAAGGGGTGGTCCCGCAGTCATACATCAAAATACTTGTCATCACATACGCGTGCGTAATTTTTAAAAAGGAGACAAATGTGAAAAAGGAAAATAGGGGAAAAAGGGGGGAAGAAGAAATAAAAGAGAAATTCAGTTAACAAATTATGGGTTTAGCCAGGAGGGTGTTCTGTTTGTTTTAAAAAATACTTCAGCCTTCTTAACTTGTGAGAACAATAGCAAGTCACCTGAAAACTTACTGAGTCGTTCACAGTGAGTGTTACCGTGGGCTCACCGTCTCTCACAATGGAAAAGAAGCTTTGAGCCCTGCTGACCTTGTTCCTGGGGAGGAAGAGGATGGGGTGGGCGTAGAGAGTGGGGAGTGAAAAAGCTCTTTTTTAAAAAAAAAAAATCAATTTGAACTTGACTGAAAGGGAACCGTCTTCTGAGGTAAACTGAGCATATGGCCACCTGAGGTGGCCGCTCTGCAGCACAGGGGCCTGGGGTGTCCCTCTCCCTGACACATGGCCATTGCCTCACGTCGGCAGCACGTGGGAAGTAACGAGGACCTCGGCCCTGGCTGACCACTGCTTGCCACAGTGCATCTCAGGAAATTCCCACGACGGGTACTTGGGGCCCTATGTTGGTTTTCTTTTTAAACATCTTTACACAGATTTTCACCCAAGATTATGGGAGCTTCGCCCACATTTCTAGACAGGTGACATCTTATGGGCCCCTACAGTCCCTTTATAATAAACACCATTACAGAGGAAAATTCAGCAGAACAATATTATGCCCAACTCATAGATTCATTGGTTGAAATAATGATGTTTATCTGATAACACTAATTTTCAACAACAATCCTGTGTGAGTGCTATCTAGTCCTCTTTTTGTAAGTTTCCCACTCTCCTATAAAAGAATTTGTTTGAACTTCGTAATGACTCTGCAGACAGTAGTTTGTTGACGGATTAACTGCTAATAAGGCGAGGAGCTCCGTCCTCGTGTAGAACAGGGGCTCTCCCTCCCGGGAGCGCTCCCAAACCTTTCTTCCCTACCAGGCACGCATCTCCTACACTCTCATGGGCCCCACAAGACGTACAACCAGGGGAGCAACGGGCAGTGGCAGCTCATCCAGGGCTAAGCCCCTGAACCTGTCCCCAAGGCCCCTTTTCTCTTACTTTCTGGTGAGCCGACAGTAGCCCCACCTTTGCTCACTTCTGTCACTGTGACTTTTATTTCTCAGTGAGCCAAAGAAGCCCAGCCTAGACTCTCTCCTCTTGCCTCTCTTATCCTAAGCTCTTTCTCATTTCACTGTCCCCAGCTTTAATAAGCCTACTCTCAAAGAAAAGGGTAAGGGGAGGATTTAGGTGAGAAGGAACCATCTTATTGTCTGGGCTTCTAGAGACATCAAGCCTTACACAGGGTGCTTTATATGCCTCATGATATTCAAGGCACAATACAACCTTGTGAAGCAGTTGAGGAGTGTGTAGCCCAGAGACCTGAGGTAACTGCCTAAAGCCTTTTTACCAAAACTGCTCCGGATGGGCAAGCACTTCAAAGAGCTATTGGATGAGAAGTGTCACTTAAACTCCAGTCTCCAAATAAAACAACATACAAAAATAAAACAACAACAACAAAACTGTGGTGGTATGTTCAGGACACTTTTCTAACTTTCTATTTGCAAGCCTATCACAGAGGTGATTACTGCCAAATATTTCACTTTTTCTTTGCATGCGCTAAAATAGAAGAGAAAAGAAATGGCGGGTGTCCCTGGAGACTTGACACAAGGGTTGACTTGTATGACACAGGTAAGACAACTCCATAAATATTTGGGTGCACCTTTACAAGGCCGAGGTTCTGTATGGGAAGTAGGGACAAGGGCCAGAGAAACAAGGGTTTCTGTTGTGATGGAGATGGCACAGCTCTGAGTCCACTGCGTGACCTTGGGCAAGTTAGTCTACCTCTCTGATAATTAGTTTCCTCTTCTGTAAAATGAGATAATGATACCTAATTCATAGCGTTGTTGAGAGGATTAAATGGAAGCGTCTGTGAAAGGCTGTAATAGTATCTGGCACATAATGGTTTCTTAGTAGGTGTTAGCAACTCTTAGAATTTATATCCACACATGGCGAGGCCTAGAGAAAATTGTTTGACCCAAGGGAACAATTTGCCTGAAATATATCTTTTCTTTTTGAAGCTGCAATGGGCATCACATGCATGGTGTCATACTTCCTACCTGAAGGGTAAGTATCTAAGAGCTGAGGAATTAATTGGGATGAAGGATGGGTCAGTAGTAAATTTGGGGTCTGGAGATATGTTTGAGTGCTGCTGTGATCGTTTATTAGCTGTGACTCACAGCAAGTTTATGAACTTACCTGAATAAATTAAATTTTTGCTCATCTTGTTCTATAGAACTATTTTGAAGGTCAAATGGAATAATCTATGTAAGAGCACTTTGTAAACAGAAAATTTATATATTAATTCCTTAAGTCAGTATGGGTGTTGTTATGATCATTAATAATTGCTCTAAATCATCATATCTGATTTCTCTGAAGACTCGAGTCCTTTGTATGAAAGGATTATAAGTTGACTTCATATTTCTCCACCACCACTGACCTTCAAGATCCATAAGGTATGAATGCAAACAACGGACAATTTAAACTACACTCCATTTCTACTAATGATGTTTTCTTATTGCATCTAGAGAGAAAAAGAACTTTCTAGAATCTTAGCAGGGGTGGAGGTGGGCACTGAGGAGGGATACCAGAGCACTCACTTCTCTCAGACAACCTGCTGCATTAGGAGCACAATGCCCCCTTTAGAAATGCAGAGAGAGAGAGAGAATAGGGGGAGATAAAGCAACTTGCTTAAAATACCACTTAGGGAGGGCAGCAGCAGAGATTTTCATCCAGGTCTGACTCCTTCCACTCCTCTCTACACCTGGGGGACCTAACGCATATACCATGCCCAGCCTGTCTGTATTCCCTGTCTCCCAAAACTGGATTTCCAGGAAAGGTCCTCCCCTCCCCGTGACAAACACACACGTGTTACCTTTGCTACTCAGGGAGCTCCACCCTTTCTAAAGTGGTTTCCTTAGTGTTTTTAACAGTTTAAATGATTCAAGATTGTACAAAAATGGCACCTTATCAAGATCTGCTGTCTGATTGAAGAAAATAATTCTCCTTAGAGTGGGAATTCCAGAGAACAAGTACTAGAGGCCTGTGTCCCAGGAAACTCCAGAGAATATTCCATTCAGAATTTTTAGTCAGAGAAGTCACAGTCTGCTCCTCAAAATTCATTCACTCTCTCAGAAGGTGAAGTCCAGAGCAGTCTGTCCCTGGCAATTAAACTGGGAACCTTCTGGAGCCATTGTCCCCGATTTGGTTGTGACCTGTGGGCATTCACAGCCTGATAGGAGGAAAACAAGGCAGCAACTATAGCCCTCTCCTCCTCTGAGGATGAGCTTAGAAAACGTGCTCCAGAGTCATGAGAGAATGAGAGAAGAGGCTGAGGGGAGGAAGGGGCATGGAATTGAAGGAGAGCTGGCAGAAAGGAGACAGGAATGGCTAGGGAGACATGAAGAGCCTCCCTAGGAGAGGGAGCATCAAGGGCATGGGCACAGGGACTAAACTGAAGGAAATGGACTGGGAGAGTCAGAGCAATGTCAACAATAAGCATCTGGACAAGGAAAAACACCAAATATTATCTGGCCTTACTGGATTCTAAATTTCTCCCTTCTTATTGCATAAGGGATCACATCTTGCCTTTCTTGGGACAGAATTTGTGTTTAACACTGATCCAGGTGACTGGTTCTTGACTTATGGATCATTCTGCCCCTGCAGGAATTAGGGGATAGAGCAAAAGACAAAACTGCCCAAGAAGGAATGAGGATCATGGTGATTTACCTTTGAAACCTCATTCATGGCCATTACTGGAGGATAATCCTACTGCAGGGGGAAAGGTATATACTCAGTATGTGTTTAATAATTGTTTCTAGTAAGACCTGATAAAAACCTATTTCACTTCTATTTAAACAGTACCGCATTGTGCAAATTGGTATATCATGCACATAGATTGCCAACCTCACTGCTGAATAGTCATGTTTTGATTGTATTTTAGTGAATTTTGTTGTCTGATAAAAATAGTTAAAAATTACCAATATGTAGTTCTGACCTGAGTTTACCGTTGAGCCAAATGAGATGCAACACTGA